TGCGGTGCCAATCCTAACATATTACATTAGCATCAGACTTTAAAGCAAACCTGGAGGAAGAGGATTCTGGGTATGAGAGCGAGAGAGTTGAGAGCGTGCTTTAAAGTAAAGCAGATTAAACTGCTATCACCAGTAAGACTTCAAGATGTGTTTAAGTGAGAGATGGTGAGTGTTACATGTGAAACACATGTGTGCATGTTTTTTATTTCCTCAGTGTGAGCATGCTTAACAGAGCGGAACTCATTTCAGTTCTATCACCCTTTAAAGCTATTTTTCTATGGCTCAGAGTGGGTGTCTGTGATCTTTGGATAAACAGGTGTGTATTTGAGAGAAAAGATACAAATAAATGGCCGAAATTTACTAAGAATTTCACTGCTGATTCTGATTTGCAGTTCTGTATTGTTTGAGCACCATATTCACCAATAGAACTGTGCAAATCAAGATAATAATAATGAACGCTAACAATTTGCAAGCCACAATTCCCCATATTGCAACATTGTGGAGGTTGCAGCAGACTATTGCAATCTGCATACTTTACTGGGAATGTACAGCATTACTCCACCACTGTGATCCAGACACCTGAATTGGCTCTTTAAAAATGTTGATTATATTCTTGATATGCCCAGTTATAACACTCTTCTCCACATTATGATGAGTTACTCCTACCATGATTAATAGGAAATGTACACAAAAATCACTTTACTGTTCATTGGTGTTAATATCAGAACGGCCTGTGTACAACAAGATGAATTTTCAGTGCAAAAATTATTTATGATAAACATTTTCTTTGAATGAATGTCTGTTAATTCACGTGCCATCAATTCATCAGATTTTTTATGAATTATTTTTCATTTCTTTTTCAAAATAAAGATGGCCGCCCAAAAAGATTCACGCTTTTAGTCACATGCTGTTAATTAAAATCTATGATTTGGTGGTGCTCACATACAATTGTGCTGAACGACAGTGGATAGCAGAGGACGAATGCGTAAACAGACTTTCTTACTCGTGTTTAGTTTTTTAGTAAACACCATAGTGAATATAAAAATCTGAACAAATACCCTTTGACTTCCTTTTCAACCATTGGTCTGAACTGGCAAATCGCATGTGAAAATCAGACAGTATTTTTGTTTTGTGTTGGTGTTATCAGGCCCATTAGCCAGTGCATTTTGTGGCTGGTTAATCTGAATTATGTGCATAGCGAATAAGCTGCAGGTTTTCGTGCTGAAATATTGGGCCAAAAAAGTAGCGCAAAAGCTTGAATTTGCACCCAAGAGTGACAATGAGAGATCAATAAAAAGAAAAAGAAACCGAGAAGTAGCAAGAGAAAGTCAGAGATACAAAGAGGAAAGGAAAGCACATAACTGGGCAAATCTAATCTCTTTCAATCTTTTCATCTTCTCTCTTTACTGTTCCTGTAGCTCTGAATCTTTCAATGTCCTCCCAGCTGACCCGAATGCCAGAGCTTTCTCAAGCACTTAAACTCTTCCAAGAGAAACATACTTTGTTCAGGGACATGCAGCACACATACAAAACTTAGGCCCATCATCTATTTATAGTTGATGAAACTACTGTATATCAACTAATATGATATATCAACTTTCATGTGCAAGCACTCTGACTTGCACATGAAAATTATAGTTTTAAATTCAAATAGTTATTTTTTTCAGCATAGATTTTCATTGTATTTTTTGTGCAGACTTAATAATACTAACTAGTAATTATTAATAATACTAACTAACTCCAAATTAAAAGTGAAACCATAAGAAATGAATATGCATTCTGCATCAAACAGAGGTAGATATTTAAAAAATCTACTTAAACCAAAGTTCTCAATATGGTGGCTGTAGAAAAAGTCCTGCCTTTCAATAAAAAGATGTAATTGGCTTATTGTTATTTGCATTTCTTGCTCTTTTTGCACTGCATGCACATGAGATGTGCAAACCTAAAAAACATTTTTTTTGCAGGCTGATTTAAACATTGCTGTCAGTTTTTTATTGTTAAACTGACATATGTTATTGAAATGGCACATAGTTTTTGACATTTAATTCTTTTCGCTTTTCAGTTTATTGGAGGTGTGCTTGCGTGACTTGAAAATAGCTGCCCTGGGGCATTGACACAATGACTGCAGAGTGAACCAACATGCTACAACAGGGACTTACGATAATACCAAGTTACTACAGTTTCATTGTAGTAACAATAACTCTAGTAACTATAGTATTTGTTGGGAATTAATGGCTAAGAAGACAGATACATTTGGTAAGGCACTCCATTTTTGTGGCAACAAACCAAAAATAGGGGTCAAAAGATATCAATTAAAACACCCACGTGACAGTGGTGCAGTCCATATAAGCTGTGAATGTTCTACATACAAAAACCAATTTTGAAAATCAATAATGTTCATTTGTCTTTTTCCAAGTGTTTATGTTTTTCTTTAAGGCGGTCTAGAAAATGTAATTTAAATGTATGTTTTTGATATGGACATGTTTCCATATTTTCATTCACATACCTGTACTTCTAACTTGTTTATTGCATTTTTTATTAGAAACATTTTGTCAGAAAGAAACATTTTTCTTTAGAATCGTGATCTCTACTTTAAGCAAATAATCATGATTGTTAATCTATTAAGAATCGTATAGTTCTAAATGAGTTAAGTCTTGCACCAAGCCTCTATTTCCAGAACATTCTCTCCTCTGCTGTATTGACAGAATGTAGTTGTTTTTCTCTTTCAAAGCTGACATGCAGACAAAATGAAAAACTAATTAAACCAAGATAAAATTTAATTAAAAGCTGAACTACACAAAGATGGTGTTGTTATAGCAATATTCTCTTTGATATGACCACTAGACAGCGTCTGATCTGCATTAGTTTAGGTGGCTAACACTCCCGCTCTAACTCAAGCTTTACAAGATCTTTGAAGTGGAGGAGGTTAATAAAGAAAATGAATGCAGGCAGGGTCATTAACAAGCACCTACATATATTGCACCTGCAGACGAGGTCTATATTTAAAAAAAAAAAAAAAGCTATTTACACCTTTTGAGATTTGTTTTGAAAATGAAGTACTAAATTCTGCACAAATCAGTGTGTGGGTTTAGAAACATAATTATTCAGAGATAAAAATTGTATTAGTTGTATTTAGTATTTGCTTGTTGTGTGAGCTGTTCTGTAATAAACTGACAGTGCATGTGAGAATCTATTCGCAATTTATTAAGCAAATCTCATACAATATGCTCAATTTGGACCCAGTTAAGAGCAAAGAGATACACTCTGCTCTGTTCTAATGGGGATGTCAGTAGATGCTGGAGATAATAACTGTTAGTTTACACTGTAGATAATGATTAATTCCAGCTGCATTTCAGCTGAGCTGGCAAGCTGACTAAAATTGCAATACAATACAAGTAGTGTGCCTGAACTCTAAATGTGAAGAAGGAATAAAACAAAGTGAAAAACAACCTGACTAATGGACTGTGATAACCTATACAATAACATTCTCTGAAAATATAAGTCAGGGGGAAAATCCTTTTATCATTGACATGAATACTTGTATGAGTGAGCGAAAATGACAGGGCTTTCTAACTCTGCCAGTTTACTTCTTCAAAGTAGATTTGTAACTGACAATCACAGAGTAGTACAATACTTAAATTCTGACTCTGTGGGCAAGCAATAAATTTCACCCCTGACATCACACATACTTAAAGGGTCAGCTCACTCAAAAAAAAAAAAAAATCCGTCATTATTTACTCACCCTTGTCCCCCAAAAATAAAATAAAAAATGATGAAAAAAATCACAACAAAAGTAGACCTTGTGCTATATTCCAAGTATCTTAAGTAATACTTGGAACATAGCACAAGATCTATTTTCCAAGTGTACTCGCCTTTGGTAAGCTCTTACAAATGAATCAGTCTGTTTGGTGAACAAATGATCAGTCTGGACATTGAACTACTGTAGATCAGTTGGTTCTCTAAAAACAAACTGCTCAACAGAACTACAGTATATGCTCACTGGTCCTGTTCACAAATTCAAAATTCAACAGATTCAATGGTTGCAGCAGTTCTTGATTAATCAAGTCACTGGAAGGGAACATCATAGTGTAAGTTTTGGTCTGATCCTGTTCCACAAAAGCTATTGTAGTACTTCCAAAGACATGAGATATACTATAGCACACAAAATGTATGGACTACTTTTATCATGCTTTTACAATTTCTGGTAATTTATCATGAATTAATTGAGAATAAATCATTTTAATGTTAATTTAATTTAATGTTAATTGTTCATTTAAACACCTTTTTGTTTTTATATATAGTGTTTAAACATTAAAGTCTGGTAGCTAAGTGTGTCAGTTTAAACTAATTACTGTACAGTGGCTGTGGCTACAGTAATGAAACCATATTAATCCAAGCAATCAACACAAGTATCAATAACTAAGGCTGTTGTCACCAGAAAGTGAACCAGAAAGGGAACCAGCTTCACTTGATCTCAAAGCTGTTCTAAGTGAAGTAAAAGGCGACACTGTACAAAACAATCAAATCATCCTGAAAAAGCTTGGAGTGCGCAAACAAATTAGGTGTAAAAACATCTAAGATCACAAAATACTGTCACAAATGTAAAATAATTTTTAAATGTTATTAAAGGGTTAGTTCACCCAAAAATGAAAATTGGCTTGTGTTTTACTCACCCTCGAAGCATCCTAGGTGTATATGACTTTCTTCTTTCAGACGAATCCAGTCGGAGTTATATTAAAAATTGTCCTGGCTATTCCAAGCTCTATCATTGCAGTCTGCGGGTGTTGCAGTTGAACAGTCCACAAGTCGTCAAATAAAGCGCGCGCATTCATAATAAAACGTGCTTCACACGGCTCCGGGGGGTGAATAAAGGCCTTCTTCGAGGGTGAGTAAAACATTTTTGGGTGAACTAACCCTTTAAATGCTATATGTGGCTCAGTTACAAGTGGATTAAAAATAACACATTAGACAAAATGTACTTGAATTAAAGGGAAACTCACCAAAGCCCAATCTGTTGTCATTGTTCCCAAAGTCGAGAGAATATATGACAACATGGTAGTTGTTCCACACGTACAGCAAATTGTCTCGAGGATTGTAGTCCACAGCTGCGATATATTGGTAGGAATTTGGGAATGGAAAGCTGAGGTGTGTTTCACGGCTCTTCTCTGTGTTGTACATGTAGTCAATTTTATTCCCCAATGCTTCATTATCGTCATCTTCGTAAACGCTCTTCACTACGTACAGGATTCCGCAGATCATAAAGGCATTGGAGGCCGATCGCTTATCGTATGACGTATCCCATGATCCCTCCACTCGTAGTGTGTATGGGTTGAGCTGACTGACCACAATTCGTCCATTGTTCTGTTCGGTGGCATAAATTACCCACAGTCCATTTTCATCCACTGCCAGATCGATGTCAGATTTCCCACCCCAGCGATACGGCGAGGTGTCGTGGTAGTTAGCGTTAGCAATAATCGCCTCACCACTCTTGATACGAGTTCGCAGGTCGAATTTAACAATGTTGCGTGTACGCTCCTTGTTGAAGAAAAGTGCACCATCGTACACCACAAACCCGGTGCCGTCCACACGATGGGGTAGTTTGTATGTCGTGGTGGGTCGACCTGCAATAAAGTCCTCCTTAGATGAGTACTCAGTCAGTGTATCTGTGCGGTATGGAGTCCAGGGCATATAGTAGATCTTGTTGGATGACTGTAGGGGGTCTTTACACCATGATCCAGACTGGTGGTCTGACTCAAAGAGGTGTTCACTCTGGTACACACCTCTCAATACACCTGGACAGAGAAAGACTGAAAGAGGAAGAGGGAGTGAATTGCAGTGATTTTTTAAAATATAATTCAATAAATTTTTTCTCTTATCTATTAGTCATATACAGTTATAAAAATAGTTATTAGTTGGAAAAATACATATATTGCAGTTCACACATACAATGGCCTTTTGTACTCTCTATTATGAGAAGCACGTTTTAATTTCTGAATTAAAATCCATTTTGAGGCCACAAAGCCAAAACTGTCAGGGTAATACAATTGCCCTGATGTAATGAAGAAAAGTCTATTTAAAAGAAAGAAAATACTAGAAAGAAGTCCTTATTAAGTACTTTGAAGTAATCTTTTATGATGTCTTTGAAAAAATGTTCACTAAATCAAAGTCATGCGGTGCAACCAAAAAAAAAAAAAAATCATGTGGTGCAACCAACAAGCAGAAATATGCAAAAAAAAAAAAGGCCCATGCAGACTCATGACCTTTGATTTATAATGATACTCCTGCAAACCATGCAGATATACTTACATGGTCACACACAAACAGAGAAGTGAGCGCACAAACAGTCACACGGAATGCCTGCCACAGTATCGGCCCTTTCCCACCATTCCGTTCCCAGAATGAGGGACATCCTCATGGGAAGTGTGTCTGGTATTTTAACAGTTACTGGATGTTTCCTTTTATTGTTTTAGATGCATTAATTTTCCACAATATGCCTTCATCCCGGAACTTTTCTTGGCCTTTGATAAACTCAAGTATATTTGTGTTTATTCACTTTTTTACTTTCAAATGTTTTGGTAGCCTATACATCTTTTATTTTTGCCATTCTGATTTCTAAATCCATATTCAAGCATTCAATTCATGTTCATCTGTATGGTGCATTTTACAATGCATTTCTTTTCAAAGCAGCTTTACAGAAAAAAATATGTTTCAAAAATTACAAACAAGAAGCCTGTGGTGACTGTGTTTTGGTATTGGAGAAAAACCTTGAGAGGCTCCTAACTGAATACACAGTAAAATTGACTGCTATTTTTCTGTTATAGTCAGTTTAAAATTTGCTTTTTAATATGCATGTCATTCTATTTCAAATCAAGGCAAACTGACACAAAAAGCTCCAATTTCAAAATGCCAATTCACAATTTGAGTGTTCTCGCCATTTGATAAATTTGATAACTGTTCATGCGTCATCTCTAGCTATGAAGAAAATTAAGTTATTATGTTAAGGTCTGACAGTCTAGATTGCCCCCAGGCCATTCAAGAGACAAAACATTGCAAGACATCAGTTTCACACTGCCGCTTCTTGTGGTCAGCACAATCGGCAGCTTAAGTTTTAAACAGTGTTAACACCGCCCTGTTCATCTGATACATGGTAAACCACCAGATACACTGAGACAGATCAAGAGAGAGGAGACAGTGAGAAACAGAGGTCTAATTCAGGGAGTAAAGCCTTGGTCTGAGATCAAGTTTCTCCTCCGCATTCCTAATATAAACCATTATGAGCTACTGATCGCCAATCTGTCATTAGTATCAAATAACCCCATAACAGCCTGACAGTGAATTACACACTTAAATTGCATTAAAGTAATGGAAGTAATGGACCTACCTCTCTGTTCCACTTCTGCATTCACAAAAGGGTGGAAGAAGAGAGAAAGAGAGAGAAAGAAACAACAGATTAATGATGCAATATTAAATACTTCACAGTAATTCAATTCCATATGCATGTAATGCACGTCGTGTCTTAACCCAATCTTGTGAAAGTAGTAAAATGTGCTTCATTTGTATTCTAGAAATTCCATTAACAAAGTGATCATAATTTTTGAAAACAAATGTAGTGTGTCCATGTGATATTAGACTATTAACCAGAAAAATGAATGTATAAAAACAAACTTGAGACAGAATACAAAAAAGAGAAAGAAATAGGGTTTGTTTCACAAAAATTGTTCATGTTCCTTGAGTATTGTGATACAGACCATCTTTCTTGGCCAGCCTTCTTGACTAATGGATAAAAGACCATTATTTATTCACTTATTTCGCATAAGATATATGGTTAACTCCAATTTGGTTTTACACCCCTTTTAAAGCTGAACTTTTTCATTTTTATATTAAAAATTGTAGCCTGACACAACGTCATTGTGAGTTAGGGGCAAAAAAAAGTTTGAAAACAACTAGTATTTTTGCAGTTACATTTGTGACGGTAGTAATGTGAAAATTACACAGTTCAGATGATCTGTTTCTCACTTTAATTTACCGCAGTTTTAATAACATTTTTGTATGTTTCTACCTTTGCAAAAATTTCTATTTACATACACTTTTATACTTATTTTAAATATTATGCAACCAGCAGTGGAAGACTAAAATAATTTCATTGTAATCATGCAATGACACCAAGAGCTTGACTTGCCTTGAAAGAAATATACAATCTACACCGTTGCTACAATTTATGTTCCTTTGTGTGTGTGTGTGTGTGTGTGTGTGTGTGTGTGTGTACTTCTCTATGAAATATGCATGAGGATGAACTGTTAATGCATCACTCAATAAATAAGTCACCACACAAGAGAGAGACTGTGTGAGTGTGTGAATGAGGTTCCAGGAGATCTGATTTAGAAGCAATTATGTCTCCCACACACACACCTAGTCGAGTTTCAGTCACATTGTAAAAGGATCAATAAGAGATAGTCATTGGCTGTCAGTTATAATGTATAAAGAAGTGATGCGTCTAGGCCCACTGGGAGGTTACGACTTCCTCTACTAGTACCCTATCCATCACAACTGACAGGCCGATGTGGGTGATGCTACATATTTCTACTCTATGTTTAAAACAGATTATCAAAAAATTAAATAAAAAAAATGTAGGTCAGGGACATAGTTCTTTCCATCGTTTGTTGATTAGATGGTAGCAGATCTGAATGCAAGCTTGCATCAAAAAAAGGAAAAATTAAATGCATGCACAGATAAATTGTGCACAAAAATATCAATAATATGCATTTAGAAAAATTTATTTCCATTTCATGCATCAAACAGAACTGCAAAAATACTGATTGTTTCCAAACAGGTTTCCAAAACACTCCCAGTCAGTCATTGGTCAGTCAAACAGATAGCCCCTCCCCAAATTCACACTATTGGCTGAGCCAGTGTTGCTATGCTGGGCTGGCAAAGAATTTTAAACAGTAAGATAGTGCCAAAAACATTTCACATACTTCTGCACTATATCTGCCATTATGAGTAGTGCAAAAACAGCAACATGTAGTGCAATACGAACATTTTATGTATGTTTATGTATTTCTACATAGCTTTTCAGTGGTCACAGCTTTCCACTGCAACACGCTAAATCTTTTGTAACCATTTTTCTCACCCTGATATCATTCCAAACATGAATTACTTTCTTTCTTCTGTGTAACACAAAAGAAAATATTTTTGAAAATGTCTGGGTTTTTTTTCCTTTTTGTCCATACAATGAAAAACAGTGGGGTTGTTTTGGACCCTACTGACTTAAATTGTACAGACAAACACAGTTGAAACATTTTTTTAAACTATTTTCTTTTGCATTCCACAGAAGAAAAAAGCTGGGATTGGAATGAACATATGATGAGAGAATTTTCATTTTTGTGGTGAACTATCCTTTCAACGTAAATAGATGCAAGATTCCTAGACTGTAGTTTAAAAACTACTTTATTCCCTCCATAAAGACAGCAGTTAATCACACAGATCTAAGGAGCAGGTACTGAATATCTACAGTATATGAGGTGAAGTTTTTTAGAGTGTAGGTAAAACAGTCGTCCCATATTGAGGTCAAAGCAGAAAGGTTGACTGGAGTTCTGCCAACTCCTCCATCACAGGGGAGAAGAGAAAGCCAGAAAAACCTCAAGAAAACATTTGGAACATGTTCCCATGGGTTTCTAAGACTGAACTAATTAAATTACCTGCCTGTGTGTGTGCATGTGAGACTGTTTGTGTGCATGTCCGTACGTATGATGGACCTCCCCACTAATTAGTGGGCCTGTGGAAAAAATGTTTTAGGCCTTTTTTGACCAGATGGTCACAAACACACATGTATGCACTTATGAGCACTCACACACTTCATGACCCATATGCGCAGGACGATTTATGGTCAAAAGGTCAAAAAGAACCGTGTGTGCATCCTGCCTGTCTGTCCTTTGTGTCATTTAGCTCTGTGCAAGAAATTCCACCATGTCTCAGCTATTCCACCCATTTGTGAATCAGTATGAGTGTGTATGTGAATGTGTAGGAGAGACAAAGTGTGTAAGTGTATTCAGGCTTTTCCTGCTGCCAGTGCCGCAGTCATACGATACTGATTTATCATCACCGTTGCCATGGCCACCCCAGATTGGAACACCAACCACACAGAAACCGTGAGAACTTGAAACCACATCGCTCAACCCTCGGATGATTGACAGGCTCTTTTCCCGTGAGTCATGGCAAGGGACGAGGTCGGACAACAGCGGATAAATGCAACAGAAGTACATTCATATGCATTTTTCTGTCAGGTACAAGTTCATATTTGGTGACAGATCTGATTGAGGTGCCAGGTAGCAATCACTGCAATGCTAAGCTGTTAAGAAAAGTACAAAAGTTTCTAATCAATTTGATATGAAAATTTGACAGTGACCTGAACTAATGGAGTCATTATTATGGTCTTGAGGCTCTTTGTCTGAGTAGATGTGAGTGCACTTGTTTTTCTGTACTTGAGAGAGACAAATTTCAGAAAATGCCCCTGCCTTGAATGTTTAAACTCTATCGATATTATTTGAGGTGTAATGTTTATTATTAAAGTCTATTACCACAGTTTCTTTAAAAAAAGCACCGAAAGAACACCAAAAACAGCAGGTACAATAAGGCACTTACAAAGTACTGAGGGCCAGGCAAAAAAAAAAAGACTGAAGTACAGCCACACCATACGTGCAATAATACCAGAAAGGGACATGACGTAACTTTCTGTAAAACAATGTTTACAGAAATAACAATGGAGTTACATCAGTAAGGCATAACTTTCATCTACCAAGAAAAGTATTTCTTCCTCACAAAGAACAATTCAAATAATTAACAGGCTTTTACTGAATAATTAATGTAAAAAATGGAATCTTCTGTCTTTCTATAACCGCAATTTATGCTATTTAAAAGAAAAACAAGTGACAAAGCTAAATCATTTTCTGTGGTAATCAACATTATGCTACAAATGTTGTCGACAGAGCTTAACTTTAACCTGGAAAATTAGTTTGAAACAGCTTGAGGCTGCTGGTATTCTATATGTACATACATACGTATATATTTACTACATTAGTGAAAAGTTTAATAAGTAGTAATGCCTTAATTTAAAAAGAAATGCTGAAAGGGTAACATTGTACAAATTATAACTTGATTTAGGTTTTTTTTTTAACAAAACAAAAAACATCTGGGTTATAGCAAAGAACTTGCAGTACAATGGAAGTGAATGTGATCCATTTGTAAATGTTGAAATACTGACTGTTTTAAATGTATAGCCACAGGGCATAAACAATGTTTTATCCCATTTTAAAACTAATTTTTTTTTTACTTTCTTTAAAAACCTAACAGCCATAAAAATGAAAGAAAAAAAAAAAAAAAAAAAAACCTTGCAGGTCAAAGAATACACAAAAAGAATTGAGGCAGGTGCTTTCATTCAATTATAAGCTTTACATTTCTGCTTGTAAATCTTAAAAAAAAAATGCATTTTACTTCCACTATAGCCTTGAGGGCAAATCATTTCTGTGGTAACACTATGGCAACACTATGCCACAAATGCTGTCGATTGTATTAACTTGTATTAAACCCAGAATATTCATTTAAGTCTGACGCATTCATGGATCTTTTAGAAGTAATAGCACACCTCTTCTCAACAAGCCACACAATTTTACATATAATTCATGTCTATAGCCTGTAGCACAAAAGAATGAATTATACACCAAAGTTTAATACTTAAAAGTTAGAAGTTTGTTTAAATCCCTAAGTATGAGCAATAGCAATAGCAATACTGAACAAAGCTTAATTTAAATCTGTATGTGTGTGAGAACTTACTGTATGGCACACACTCGTACTGAATCTCAAGGTATTTGTACGTTCCAGGACACGGGTCAGGAAAAACATCAGGGCCAGCGACGACTGCACACTGAGTTCGGTTGTTACACCTGAGAGAGAAAGAGAGAATGATACATGCAGACAGATAAAGCAAGGCTACTAGCGCAGTTCAATCAATATCAGTCTGACATTAGGCATATGAACCGTATGTACTCGTTCAATATGTACGATAAAAATTAATGAGCCCTAAAATACCATTTTCATCAAGTGAAAGAAAAAAGATACTTTTACTCAACAATCTCAATGAAGCTGAAATACTCAAAATGTGGGCTCCCCAAAGAGCAGGAACACATGCTGTTGTTCAAATGTAATTCTTATGTAGGTCGTATGTACATGTAAGGCTGAAAATACAGAGCAGAACGAATTCTGGCACAAAAAAAAAAAACTGAGGAAAAGACAGTTTTGACAAATCCTGTTGGCAGGAACACATGCACACACACGGATGACCACCACATGACATCTCTGTCATATTTCATGATTATTACACCCTATAGAAATACAAGCACACACACAAAACACAACTGACACATGTACAAACACACACAAGAATCTTAAAGCGCAGTTATATCTCCCTCAACGGGTAACCATGGAAACCTTCCAGTCCAAACCCATGGGGCACTTAAAATGCACACTTAGACACACAAACACATACTTCAGCTTTTTAAGTTTCCAACCTTAGCTTCACAAAATCATTATAAGACAATCGACAGTCTGACGGACTCAGGTGTGTGCGCGCGAGTGCGTGTGTGTGTGTTTTGCCTCTTACTTTTCAAGCTGTCAGACAGTGGAATATTGTACAGGATTGGTCTCTTGGCATTTGTGTATATTTGTGTATAGATGCAGGTATGTTAAGTGTGTGTTACAGTTTGGGTATGTGTGTGTGTGGGCCCTAATTGCTGTGCTGAGTGAGTGTGACAGTCATACTCCCAGAGTGCTGTGGGGCATCTCTGGTTTCCGGGGTGACAGCTCTTGTGTGGCAGTGTGCAACACTCAGATATGACCTAATTTAGGAGGAGAGGAGAGAAGAGGAGAGAAGAGGAGATTATTTTGTCTTTTGCTTTAAAGGTAATGATTTGCATGCACAAAACACCCATTAGCCTACTCAATGCCCCCACCTAGGAAATGTTGTCTGGGGTTTTGTGTGTTTAAGATTTGTGTTCACAGTTGTCGAACGGTCCGATCAGATAGGCTGAAGTGAGGAGATGACTGAATGAACTGGGGCAGCGTGTGTCACATGAATATATCAGCATCATCCAGATGTACAGAGACACTGGCCTTGAAGAACATCACCTGACTGAGATATCAGAGGGTTTCCTATGTGTGTGAATAACTGTTTCCTATTTCGCTCACAAACACACACAGGATATCACGATTTGTAATAATTTGATGACAATAAGATGGGGCATTTTTTATGAGCATCCTTGAAGCGCAACAATAGAGTGTCACGCTAGCAATGCCAAGATGATGGGTTCGATTGTTGACACTGACGGCAATAAATATAAATTTGTGATCAATTCAAAAACATCTGCTTTAAGAAAGAATTCCACATTGTACCGCTTTGATGAAATCATTCAATACAGATGTAAAATGCCAACAACGAAAATATAAAATGGTTTGACAAGTGCAGTTTTCTTTCTAGCGTTTACATATTTTGAAACAGTAAGTTGGGAACATACTAAAGAGTTTGTCTCGTTTGAAAACAGCCAGTAGCTTTTAGTTTACGTCACAGCTTGGCAAAACCACAAATCCCCTTTCCTCACAATCAATAGAAGGTTAGGAAGGAAAATCTCTAATCAATAAATAAATAAGCATGAGCAGCACACCAACGAATTTGAATGAACTTGTATTGTATTTGCTACAGTACATGATATTGCCTGTTTTATCATATTTTTTAAAAATGACAATTTTCTAAATGTACAGTACCACAGTACATGCGGTTACACTTTATTTTAAAGTGTTCTTGTTACAGTGTAATTATACATTTAAGTACTGAGTAATATTAATTAATATTAATTAAATATGTACTTACTATATAGTTAGGGTTAGGATTAGGTTTTGGCTTAAAGGGGTCATATGATGCGATTTCAATTTTTCCTTTCTCTTTGGAGTGTTACAAGCTCTTGGTGC